GCTGCCAAAGGTGATTTCGGATACTTCAGTGTCGCGAATGGACAGGAAAACTGCGAATACCGTCTGATGGAGCTTCTCGGTCACCCAGATCCTGTCCAGCATATTGAACTTGGGGCCCCGCGACATGTACGGCAGGGACAAACCCATAACACCGTCAAAATTGAATCCGCTGGCCCCCTTGTGGGGCCATCAGGCTGCGAGGATCGCTTTGCTGCTCTATGCACCAGTCGCAGCTTCCAGCCTCCAGTGTTACAATCCTGCTTTCTGCTACTGTCACTCGTTGAAGTTCGCGCGAGGGGGGGCCCAAATCGTCCGGTACCTTCCCCGAGTCGGGTGCTCTGAGTTCCTGCGGGGCCCTGGGACATACAAGGGGCACGCGTGTCAATGATCATACAATCGCGGATGCGAGACAGACGGCAGATGGCAATGGCGCCAAGCACGCGGGGTAGATGGGCGCAGGGGAGGAGCGGGGGGAGGGCGCACGGTCGGAAGAAGGCGAGGGGGGCTCGGGGAAGGCGGGGGGTGCACGAGGGGGCCTGCGCGGAAGCTCGGAGAGGGTGGGGGAAACACGGGGGCCAGGGGAGGGGGGCGCAGGGAAGGAGCGGGGAGAGGGCGCACGATCGGAACAAGGAGAGGGGGGGCCGGGGAAGGCGGGTGGAGCACGAGGGGAAGGCGCGGAAGCCCGGAGAGGGTGGGGGCGCGCAGGGAAGCACGGAGGCAAGGGGAGGGGGGCGCAGGGGAGGAGCGGGGGGAGGGGGCGCACGGTCGGAATAAGGGGAGGGGAGCCCAGGGAGGGCGGGGCAAACACGGGGGAGAAGGCGCGGAGGCCCGGGAAGAATGGGGGGGGCACCGGGGCAACGGGAGAGGGGCGCAGGGGAGGGGCGGGGGGAGGGCGCACGGGTCGGAATGAGGGGAGGGGGCCTCCGGGAAGATGGGGGGCACGGGGGCAAAAGGAGGGAGGCGCAGAGGAGGAGCGGGGGGGAGGGCGCACGGTCGGAATAAGGGGAGAGGGGGTCTGGGGAGGGCGGGGGGAGCACGGAGGGGGGGAGCGGGGGGGGGCGAACGGTCGGAAGAAGGGGAGGGGCGCTCGGGGGCGGCGGGGGGAGCAGGGGCCCGGGGAGCGCGGAGGGAGCACGGGGGCAAGAGGAGACAAGCGCAAGGGAGGAGCGGTGGAGGGCGGCGCACGGTCGGAATAAGGAGTGGGGGGGATCGGGGACGGCGGGGGGAGCACAAGGGACAGGGCGGGGGAGCCCGGGGGGCGTGGGGTCGGGCAGACGGGGGGCACGGAGGCAAGAGGAGGAGGGTGCAGGGGAGGAGCGGGGGGAGGGCGCACGGTCGGAATAAGGGGGGGGGCCCGGGAGGGCGGTGGAAGCACGGGGGGGGAGGCGCGAGGCCCGGGAAGAATGAAGGGAGCACGGGGCAACGGCAGAGGGCGCAGGGGAGGAGGGGGGAGGGCGCACGGTCGGAATCAGGCCAGGGGAGCCCCAGGGAAGGCGGGGGGCACGGAGGCGAGAGGAGGGAGGCGCAGGGGAGGAGCGGGGGGAGGGCGCACGGTCGGAAGAAGGTGAGGGGGGCCCGGGGAGGACGGTGGGAGCGTGGAAGGGAGGAGCGGGGGGAGGGCGCACGGTCGGAATAAGGGGAGGGGGGCCCGGGGAGGGCGGTGGGAGCACGGAGGAGCAGGCGCGGGAGTCCGGGGAGCATGGGGGGAGCGTGGGGGGAGCACGGGTGCAAGGGGAGAGGGGCGCAGGGGAGGAGCGGGAGAGGAGGGGCGCACGGTCGGAATAAGGGGAGGGGGGCTCGGGAAAGGCGGGTGGAGCGCGGGGGAGAGGCGCGGAAGCTCGGGGAGCGTGGGGGGAGCACGGGGCGAAGGGAGCGGGGCGAATGGGAGGAGCAGGGGGGCAGGTGCACGGTTGGAATGAGGGGAGGGAGGCCCGGGGACGGCGGGGGAAGCACGGGGGAGAAGGGCGCGGGGGCGCGGGGAGGGTGCGAGGAGGACGGGGGCAAGAGGAGGGAGGCGCAGGGGAGAGCTGGGGGAGGAGGGGGGGGCGCACGATCGGAATAAGGAGTGGGGGGGGGTCCGGGCGGCGGGGGAGCTCGACGGGGAAGGCGCGGGGGCGGGGAGCGTGAGGGACACCGGGCAAAGAGAGAAGTGGCGCAGGGAGAGGGGGGAGAGCGGCGGGGGGGCAGCACGGTCGAACTAAGGGGGAGGGGGGCCCGGGAGAGCGCGGGGGGGAGCACGGGGGAGAGGGGCGCCGGGGCGCGGGGAGGGCTCGAGGAGGACTTGGGCAAGAGGAGGGAGGCGCAGGGGAGAGCCGGGGGAGGAGGGGGGGCGCACGGTCGGAATAAGGAATGGGGGGGGGCTCGGGGACGGCGGGGGGAGCACGGAGGAGAAGGCGCGGAGGCCGGGGGGCGTGGAGGGAGCATGGGGGCAAGGAGAGAGGGGCGCAGGGGAGGAGCGGCGGGTGGGCGCACGGTCGGAATAAGAGCAGGGGGGCCTGGGGAGAGCGGGGCGGGAGCACGGAAGAGAAGGCGCGGGGGCCGGGGAGCGTGGAGGAAGCACGGGGGCAAGGAGAGAGGGGCGCAGGGGAAGAGCGGCGGGGGGGCGCACGGTCGGAATAAGGGGAGGGGGGCCCGGGGAGGGCGGGGGAAGCACGGGGGAGAGGGGCGCGGGGGCGCGGGGAGGGTCGGAGGAGGACGGGGGCAAGAGGAGGGGGGCGCAGCAGGGGAGAGCGGGGGGAGGAGGGGGGGGGCGCACGGTCGGAATAAGGAGTGGGGGGGGCTCGGGGACCGCCAGCACGGGCAGCAACCAGCACAAGCACCAGCACGACCACCAACACGACCACCAGCACCTCCAGCACTACCAACCACCAGCACGACCACCAGCAGAACCACCAGCACGACGACCAGCACAACCACCAGCACGACCACCAGCACGACCAGCCACCAGCACGGCCACCAGCACCTCCACAAGCACGACCTCCAGCACAACCACCAGCACGACCACCAGCACGACCACCAGCACGAGCACCAGCACCTCCATCAGCACGACCAGCCACCAGCACAACCACCAGCACGACCACCAGCACGACAAGCAGCACAACCACCAGCACAAGGGAGAGCAGCAGGCCCAGCCACCAGCACCGGGCCAGCAGCACGACCACCAGCACGACCACCAGCACCTCCACCAACCACGACCACCAGCACGACCAGCCAGCACCACCAACCACCAGCACGACAACCAGCACAACTAGCACCACGACCACCAGCACAACCACCAGCACAACCACTACCAACCACCAGCACGACCACCAGCAGAATCACCAGCACGACGACCAGCACAACCACCAGCACGACCACCAGCACGACCAGCCACCAGCACGGCCACCAGCACCTCCGCAAGCACGACCACCAGCACAACCACCCAACCACCAGCACGACAACCTGCACAACCAGCAGCACGACCACCAGCACAACCACCAGCACAACCACTACCAGCGACCAGCACGGCCACCAGCAAAACCACCAGCACGACGACCAGCACAACCACCAGCACGACCACCAGCACGACCAGCCACCAGCACGGCCACCAGCACCTCCACAAGCACGACCACCAGCACAACCACCAGCACGACCACCAGCACAACCACCAGCACAACCACCAGCACAACCACCAGCAGGACCACCAGCGCGACCACCAGCAGGACCACCAGCAGAGCGCACGGTCGAAATAAAGCAGTGCGAGATCATACCGGTAGATATGATGATAAATCCTTGCAGGGACCTATGCAGAAGGAACTTGGAAGGAGTTAACTGCAAGATCATTGACGCATCTTGGGTGCACATTGGTCCTCATTTTCCTCCTCCCCCTCCTCCTCCTCCTTCTCCTCAACCTCCCCCTCCTTCCTTTTCCACCTCCTCATCCTCCTCCTCCTCCTCCTCCTCCTCCTCCTCTTCCTCCTCCTCCGCTCCTTTCCTTCTGAATAACTCCCCCGCGTTGCACCCCGAGGCCAGTCGAAGGACGGGCCGGGCGTTTCGACTGAGACCTCCTTACAATTTACGCGCCTGAAGTTGAAATTTTGGCAACAGCTTCACACATGGAAGGCGGGCGGTTTTCAAAACATGGTTTTCGCTTTAGCGCCCCGCACGTCCGTTCAATACTTGCAGAAGATTTCGGGGTTGAGGGCGTGAGGTTTTAAAAATGTGGCTCTCGTCTTAGCCTCGCGGACATTGGATTTCAAGAGTTGCAGGAGCTTCACGGATTGAAGGGCGGGGGGGTTACAAAATGTGACTCGCGCCTTAGCGCGGCACAAACTCGTTTCAAAGATTCGCAGGCACTTCACGGATTGAGGGCAGGTGGTTTTCCATATGAGGCTCTCGCCTGAGCGCCGCGCACATTCGCTTTGAAAAAACTGCAAGAGCTGCACGGATTGAGGGCGGCTGGTTTTCACAATGTGGCTCGCGCCTTAGCACCGCGCGCCTTCGTTCTGAAAAATGCAAGAATGTCACGGATTGAAGGCGGGTGGGTGGTTTTCACTATGCGGTTCTCGGCGTAGCGCCGCGCACGTTCGTCCTAAAGCTTTGCAAGCGTTTCACTGATTCTGATGGTCAACGTATCAGACACGGTGATAAAAAATGGCTCAGGATTGTCAGGGCGCAACAGTTACGTTGATTCGCGGTGTTGAAATCCCAAGAATGGTGTTCTGACACGGCTCAGGATCGCCAAGACGCAAAGTCACCTGAGAATGGTGCGTTGGCATGCTTCCGGATTTTCGCACGGTTGTCCCACAACGGCGTTCTGGCACAACCAGGGGATCGCCAGTCAACAACAGTCACGTTGACCCGCGACGTTGAAATCCCAGGAGTTGTGTTTTGGCACAAGTAGTGATTCTCAGACTGCTGTCACCTAGTGGGCCACGTCCCGCAATGATAATTACTCCGACGGAAGGACCCCACATGAGAATCCTCTGGGCGAATCTGGAAAAAGCGCTCACCGTCGTCCT